CAACTTCGAAGGAAGCTTATTCTGTTGATTGGAGCATATGGAACTACTTCTAAAGATTCTCAGCCACCCTGACTGGGGATGCTGAAAAGGTAGCGTGCCAATGGACCTCCTCAGCACGCCCTGAGTGTACCGCAGACTGAGCTGGTGTCGGAGGAAGGGTGCCATTTTCTGGTCAACACATCTTCCTTCATCCATCTAAACCTCCTCTTTAAATATTTAAACCTCTTTACTCCTTCTCTTTAAACTTCTATTCGCCAGTAAATCAAGCTAGATGCCTTCAGAGATGAATTATTCTCCATCAGTAATCTTCTGTTGTCTTGTTTAGTAAATCTTGCTAAGTTTATTACTCAGAAACAGATCAGCCAATCAATGTGTACATGTTTGATGTTAAATTTTGATTCTGTTAAATAAATGACAGCATTTATTCTGATGGGTCAAAGAAAAATGGCGTCTCATGTCACTAATTAAAACTCCACTCTCAAGTTATCTTGGTCACATGGAAGAAATTTAACTCGAAAAAGAAAGAATCCATTGTAATTAAACAATTAATATTCTTTGTGCTTGAACTGGCTTTAAGAATAGTTAATTAGTAGTATGTTACAGCGAAAGCTGTCCTTACATCACTACAAAGCCGTCATTTCTGAAGTCATTGAGAAGCTAATAGCCGATAGCACTTGGGTGAGTTATGCCACAGACATTTGGACATTGTGTTAGTCCCGTTAGCATAATTAGTCTTACAAGTACAATGGATAGACACAAACTTTGAACTTCAAAAGGCTGTCCTTCATGCACAGGAGTGCAGATGATCCCACACTGCAGCTAGGAACCTGGAACAAGCCTCCACAAGTGAGACAGCATCACAGGTGACTAATGCTAATAAATAACATTTAACACTTTTCATTTAATATAAGTTAAAGTGCTATGCATATCATATGGCTGTTACTGAATATATGTCACTAGTTCTTACAGATGTTACATAATTTTTGTAGCAAATAAGCCTAAATAAGAGGGCTATGTTCTGACAAAGGAACGTATATAAAATATCTGTATCGGCATTGGTTATCGGCCGAATAAGTTTTAACATATCGGCCAAAAATCCAACATTGTGCATCCCTAATACATTCAGTAACAGCCATATGATATGCATAGCACTTTAACTTATATTAAATGAAAAGTGTTAAATGTTATTTATTAGCATTAGTCACTTGTGATGCTGTCTCACTTGTGGAGGCTTGTTCCAGATTCCTAGCTGCAGTGTGGGATCTTCTGCACTCCTGTGCATGAAGAACAGCCTTTTTAAGTTAAAAGATTTTGTCTATCCATTGTGCCGTAAGACTACTCATGCTAACGGAGCTAACACGACGTCCAAATGTGTGTGGTAAAAATCACCCAACAAGTCGCGCTATCGGCTATTAGCTTCTCAACGATGTCGAAAATGACGGCTTGTAACTCGGGTAGCGTTACGTCGGAAAAATATCTCCCGACTGCGGACGATGTAGCGAGGCACAACGTAGTCCATAAATCTTGGGAATCTGACATCCTCACCAACGAATAAATAAAACTTCCGCATCGCCGACATTTTGAATTTTCCTCTTCGCCGTGAGATTGGGTAGGTGCATGTGACGTCATCACGTTGTGCTGCCGCTGCAGGCAAAACAGTGCCTTTTATGTTGGTGAGTTATTTTAATGGAATAGCTGATGTCCGATATTGAACTTTAACGCCAATATTGTCTGATACAGATACCATGACAATAATATTGTGCATCCCTAGTCAGAAAGACTGAAAACGATCATATCTCAGGCAAAAATTGGGAAAGAAAAAAAAATCCATAAATGAGTCGCTTCAGCGTATAAGTCGCAGGGCATGCAAATTATGCAGAAAACCACAATTTATATGGTAAAAAATACGGTTAATGCTCTCAGCTGGTTTGGAAGTTTCAACAGGGAAAGATGATGTCAATTTATTTTTTCTCTTAAAATGCGTTGGTACATTTAAAAGAAGTAAATAGTGTAAACAAGTACAGTAACCTCCTGTATTGTTTTGGAGCTTGCAGGTTTATAAATCTGATGGGATAAGACCAAGACTAGATTTGTAAATGAGAACCTACCAATCATTTATTCTACAAAAAGACAAATTGTACCATTCAGTGCAAGAATACAATGCACAACAAACAGTTTTAAGGTTTGTAATAAATCTCAGGGCTCTGTGGTCAACTCCAACTGAGCAGGTAAAGCTGCACTTAGAAGCTTGCAAATACAGTACATACCCATAATCTAAAAAAACATGAAAGCAGTGGAAAACAATTTTTTTAATTTGTTTTAGACTCAAAAGAATAGCGATTTGTTTCTAAAGAAGAAATTATATTATATTTTTTTTTACAGTTGCTGAATGTGAGATTTTGAAGGAAAATTTTCATTCAGAATTTTTAACTGTTTGTATTCAGGCACTAATTCTGAGCCAAGAAGATTCATGAATTTTAATTTTAAGAAAAACATTAGACTTATTTTTCTTAGCCTTCAAAACCAGCTTGGAATCGCACAAAATGTGATGGACATTAAAAAACTGTTGGGTCTGATAAATCCCTGATAAACTGTCGATACAACAAAGTACTTCACAATATCATCAACATACATATCCTTCTCAAAAAATTAGCATATTGTGATAAAGGTCATTATTTTCCATAATGTAATGATAAAAATGAAACTTTCATATATTTCAGATTCATTGCACACCAACTGAAATATTTCAGGTCTTTAATTGTTTTAATACTGATGATTATGGCATACAGCTCATGAAAACCCAAAATGCCTGTCCCAAAAAATTAGCATATTTCATCCCACCAATGAAAGACAAGTGTTTTTAATACAAAAATCGCCAACCTTCAAATAATCATGTTCAGTTATACATTCAATACTTGGTCGGGAATCCTTTTGCATGAATGACTGCTTCAGTGCGGCGTGGCATGGAGGCAATCAGCCTGTGGCACTGCTGAGGTGTTATGGAGGCCCAGGATGCTTCGATAGCGGCCTTAAGCTCATCCAGAGTGTTGGGTCTTGCGTCTCTCAACTTTCTCTTCACAATATCCCACAGGTTCTCTATGGGGTTCAGGTCAGGAGAGTTGGCAGGCCAATTGAGCACAGTAATACCATGGTCA